GATTTGTTGTGTGAATTGTGGTTCTTTTTAATTGTTTATTTTCAGAGGCAAAATGCAAAAATAAAAATAAAAGTAACAAACAAAAATGAAAGCTGGCTGATTTTCAGGAAGATTTTATTATTTGATTAAGTCCCAACCTGTCTCTTGTCCAGTTTCCTTATGGCAATGCTTCTCAGACATGAGGCTTCAGACCAGCAGTGCTGACCCCACCTGGGAATTTGTGAGAAATGCACATTCTAAGCCCGTTTCAACCCACTTGGCCAGAAGCTCTTAGAAGTCAGACTCTGGGATCTGCCTTGTGAAAAGCATTCCAGGTGGTTCTGGTGCACAGGAGAGTGAAAAATACTGCATCAAGGCAGGCATTTCCCCTAACCGCACCCCTCCTCTGGAACAAGACACTTCGACCCTGCACTCTAACCCCAACGTCTGTGTTCAGTGACCTTGGAAATGATACTTTGACTGCAAGGGCCTTTACCTCTGATGTCTCTCTGATATTTCCTTGCACGTTCTGATTCTTATTCCCGTCTCCTCTCCTCACACATAGCTAGCAGTGCTTTAGGGATGTTCAAAATCACTTTCAAATATCTATTTTGTTCTCCTAGCTATTTTATCTCTTATGAGAAAATTAAATTAGTGCCATAAATGTGAGGGAAACTGATTGGATAAGGCTAACTAACTCTTGTTGGCCTTGTTCCATGAATTCTCAAGGCATAAGCACTTTCTCTCTTTTAAAATTTTCAATTACAGTTGACATTCAGTATTATCTTATTTGCAGGTGCATAGCATAGTGGTTAGACCTTTATATAACTGGTGAAGTGATTCGCTCCCAATAAGTCTAGTACCTCCCTTACACCATACATAGTTATGCCAATATTACTGATTACAATCTCTATACTGTACTTTACATCCCCATGACTATTTTGTAAGTATCAATTTGTACTTCTTAATAGATTCACCTTTTTACCCCCACCTCTTCCAATTTAGCACCCATCAGTTTGTTCTCTTTATCTGTGAATTTGTTTTATTTGTTCGTTTTATTTTTTAGATTCTACATATAAGTAAAATCTTAAAATGTTTGTCTTTCTCTGTCTAACTTATTTAACTTATCATGATGCCCTCTAAGTCCATCCATGTTGTCACAAATGGCAAGATTTTGTTATTTTTAATGGCAGAGTAATATAATTTTAGACATTTCTTGTGATAGAGTAATAATGAGTTGTCTTATCAAGGACCAGTAGGAAGGCTTAGCTTGGAATGTAAACATTTTAAATACTTGAAAGGGTTTTCAAGAAAACTGAAAGTAGATATTAATGTTCTTAACTTTCCTCCTGGACCTCCTAATTTAACAAAAAAAATTCTCCATGTGCTTGTTGCTAATGAGGGTCCAGGACATCCCCATAAACAGCACGGAAGGAGCCCGTATTTATTAAACATGCATTTTGATCAGAGTGCAGTAAAAGAGCCTTGTTCTGAGGAAAGAAAGCAAGATGCACGGACAGTCCTCCTCCTTCTGAAACACAGAAACACTGAGGAAAATAACTGTCCTCAACCAACACCCTCATTGTGCCAAGTCTCCATCATTCCTCAGGCGCTAGGGCTGTGTGTGTGGACTTGGTGATTCAGCTCTGTTCCATTTGAGAGATAGCTTTTATCCAGTTTTTCCCTTTTATTTGCCTTCCAGGCTTGCTGATGAGGCCCAGGTTTGAGAGCAGCTAAGTTGATCCCTGGTCATTTGTTCGAGGCATGTCTGGCCCTAACCTATGGGTACATGAGGCTTTCCACAGGCTGTGTGGCCAGCATGAGACTCTGTGCTGGTCCAGGAAAGTAGATTTGGATTGACTATTTCAAAGTCAGCTCCTACTAGCATCTTTGAAATGGTTGCATACACCTCAACCTGCAGTTGTAGGTTGTACAAGGGCATGGTAGATTTGAAATGACACATTTTAATATCTCAAATTTCTCCAAATCAGCCTGAGAAAGTGCCCGAGATTGCATTGTAATTCTAATTCTCCTTTCTGACTGCTTCCACTTTAGTAATTGTCCAGGGGAGAATTTTTCTTTACTTTCTTCCTTTAATAGTCATTTGATAAAGCCTGGTAAAATATTAGCAGTATACTGTCTAGATATTGAGAAATTGAATGAATTTAATACCAAGTTACAAAGCCCTTTGCAAGTCAGGTATTTTCCAATTCATTGCTTTAAAAGAAATTGAAAGAGGAACTAATTGAATTGTCAGCTGTGCGATCATTAAAATAATTTCTGAAGCTATATTACTCTGTGATTTTTGGCGTATGTTTTGGAAAAGATTCAAAGAATTGAGTGACATTTCTCTACAAGTTTTTCATTTCCATATCCTTGCTGATGTGAAGTAGGTTCCTTTTAAAGGAGGGGAAAAAGGAATAGGAATAAAATTGATCCTTAGCTCTATCTCATTCTAGCAGTGATGGTAGTTATCCAGGGTATAATTTTAAAAAGCCTCATCAATCCTACTAAGAGCTATATTTCCAGTTAAAGCTTACTCATTAGCTTTAATTATTACTTAACAGCATGTACAATATATTTATGTTGTGTTATCAATATTATCCTGTATTGATAACTCATTCTAAAAGAAAATATTATTATTCAGAACTTTATGGTCACAGAACATAAAGAGAATTTAAATTGATATGTAAATATGATAGCTGATCAATAACAGATTTTCAAGCATACAATATATCAGGATAGAGTCTTACAGAGGACACATAATGGAAACATAAGTTCACATTTTAAAAAGGAATGGTGCATATTTTATGATTGCTAAGGAAGAGCTCATTTACGAATGTTGAAATAGATAATGATGAGTATCAAATTACTATGGTATTTAAATGCCATTAAACATATGTACCTATATGCACATATATATTGTTATGTTTTGATTTTAAGTATGAATATTTTCCACAGACCAAAAGTGCATTCTTTCCCACTCTAACTTAAATTTTACAGTAAATGTGTAAGGGGTTACATAATTGGCCCAAATAAAAGCAAGAATATTTGTTCCCACACAGTCATCTGAATTTGTGTGGTCTCAGCTCACTATTCACTCCCGGCTAGCTGAGTCCTGAAGCTGCACAACTGGGACTTCATTGTTGGGAGTTACTCAAATGCAACAGTCCTTAGACTAGGATTGCTTTATCCATCATTTACAACTGAGAGGGAATGGGTCAGTGTGTGTGTGTGTGTGTGTGTGTGTGTGTGTGTGTGTGTTTTAATGCTTTGAAAGTTCAGGCAAAAACAGATCAACACAAGCATCTATAAGTGCATGTATGTTTGTGAGGAGTAAGATGTGGAAGACATAGTGTTAGGCTGTTTTGGAAGTAATGATCTCTGGGAACCAGGAGTTGGGCAGGAATGGGATCATTAGCTTGGCCTTTTTGCATCTTTGCATTACATTTGTTCACATGTACAACACAATTATTTTATATTTTTAGTTTTTAAAAATAGCAAATAAAGACCATTTAAAAGAGAAGAATCTCCTCCTATTTTAATTTGAAAGCGCTTGATTATCACACCACCCTACCTCATGGCCCCGGCACTTGCTGAACGCTAGGTGGACCTGAAGGTAAAAGGCCTCAGTAATTGGGAGCTTGTATTATATTTCTACTCTCCCAACCAACCAGGGAGAGCGCTTCTCTAGACCTGGTACTTTCCCTTTCCATGAGAGCTATCTTCTGGTGCTCCAGTGCCATTCTGTTCTCCTGACCCTGTCAGGCTGGTCACTTTACCAGGGGAAGCAGCTTGTCCAAATGTGTGTGCCCTTTCTTCCACGCCCAGTGTCTCGGGTGTGCTGCCCATCTCCTGAGCCAGTCAGAGGATCTCTTGTTGCTCAAATGGGTTCGGACATGGTAAGGAGTGTCAGTGTCTTCTCCCTGTCTCCTCACCTGGAGGCACTGGATTCACACTCCTTGTCCCCAGGAGGTACATCTCCTACCTTCTGCTATGACATCTGGGGGGCACCCCTTGCCCTGTGCTCAGATACCCCAACTCGGGTTCTCGGTGAGCACAATTCTAACCCTTTAGTCATAGTTATAAAGGGTTTCTTTTTCTGCATTTTCCCTTGACAAGTTCTAAGTTCCCGGGGCACATATGCAAGTTTTCTTCCTGACCAAACAGGCATGTTTATCTCTACATTGAACCTGATAGCTGGCAGGTCATACACAGCAATAAACAAAATTCATTAGCCTCCCAGGATTGGGGAAGTAGGTGAGAGGGGTGAAGGTCAAAGAGGTGACATCAGCCACACCATTTTCTCTCGGGGCACGGAGAGAGGAGTGTGAGAAGGAAGAGAAACTGCCTGACCATAAATTTCTCTCCAGAAATCTTAGGGAGTAGTCAGGGTTTCCTCCAACACTGCAGGCTTTCTCAGGTGAATGTTCCAGTCCATGTTATAAGTGGTAGGTTGCAGGAGGCACTGGGCAGCTTAGGCGAACAGGGGATTTATCAGCACCAAGGAGGTAAACAAGTTCCATTTGGGGCTCACCACAGGTGCTGGATTTGCTTTGTGGATTACCTGTGACCTATTTGAAATGCTGATCTACTTTCTCGCCCTTGGGCCCCTGGGCCCCTTCTCCCAGGAGGTGCTCAATGTGCTGGAGAAGTATAAACTAATTTCCATATCCGCCTGGGGGAGAGCTAAAATGGAAAACAAACATACAGCAGAGATATTCACAGAATAGGCTCCCCAATCGAATACAAATGATGTTGCATCATCGCTTCTTCAGGGTGATTCAGGCCACTGTTAACCTATATATAAAAAGTCTCATCAATAATTAATTGCTTTTCTGTTAGCACTAGGTGAGGTTATTTTATTTATTCCTTGAAGCACAAGCAGTATATTTATTATGTCAATGCTCAACACGCTCTTACTCCCATTCTCTCCTTTTCTCTCTTCCTTTCTCCCTTCCTCCATATTCCCCTGTCATCTTCCCCTCTTCCTTTATCCTCCTTCCCACCCCACCCCACAGGTGTACCATAGACGACCGAGTCACCCGGGTCGCCTGGCTGAACCGCAGCACCATCCTCTACGCCGGGAATGACAAGTGGTCCATAGACCCTCGTGTGGTCATCCTGGTCAACACGCCAACCCAGTACAGCATCATGATCCAGAACGTGGATGTGTATGATGAGGGCCCGTACACCTGCTCTGTGCAGACAGACAACCACCCCAAGACCTCCCGGGTCCACCTCATCGTGCAAGGTGAGTTACAGCTAGATTTGTGCATTGGGGCCGCTGCCAGAGATGGAGTGGAAGGGCCATCTCAGCTTTCGCTTCTGCTCATGTATGAAGACAGAAAAAGTCATTTTCCTCTACAGAATTCAGAGGTTGTGTATGAGCCCGGGTTTCCTTCTCACCTGCTAGGTTCTTTGCTGAGCACTGAGTTTGTTCACCGTTTCTCAGTATTATCTCTGATCCTTCACTTCGTTTCAATAAGTTGTGTGGCACGTGCTGGTTGAGCTCTCTTAAGTCACTTAGTGCTCTGGAGTTGGGGCCTGATAGACTTAAAACATGGATACTATATCCACTTCCTGTGCTTATAGACATAACTATAAATAATGATGGTGATTGTGTAGAGATCTGTCTTTAAATAGCTTTGATACGCTTCTTTTGTTATAAAAGGTTAATGCTAGAGAAGTGAAATCATGTGACTTGGGACTGCACATTCCAGGAGGGGTTCTGAGTGCTGTTTCGTCAGGTTCTCCCTGCATCCTTGCTGAGCCGACTCCTCTCTCATAGCTCCACAGTGCAGCCGAGGTCAAGAGAGAGATTAGGCAAAATTATATTTCTAGGTCTGTGTTGGAAAGAAATCTATGTAATTAAAAAGGGGGATTGTATCTCTAAATTTCTCTCTTATTTGCCCTTAAAAAAATCAGGCACAGTATTTCACAAATTTTTATTCAAATTTCACTTTGCAGGGGAAACAACAGGGCTGTAGGAATGTCAGAATCTTAGATAGCAATTATTAAATATTAAAAATTAAAAATACATCTGGATAGCAGTTAGGAGAATGTGAGAGCCATTTAAAACAAGACAGCAGTACTTGTTTTAAACTGCTCTGGACTGACTGCACTCCCCGCCTCATTACTATGTAAGCAGTTCCTGTCAGGTATTGGCTCAGGCACCCAGAATTGCTCACCTTGCTTTATCCTCCAATGGCACATCCTCCTTACCTTCCTCCATACAGTGAGGGGTTGGGACCATGTACTGAGCTCTCAGAAGAGGACTTGGGATCATAAACTGAGCTCTCAGAAGGAGTCCCTGTGTCGCTAACTGTTGTGGCTCAGTGGTTTCGCATTGACCTATGAACCAGTAGGTCATGGTTTGATTCCCAGTTAGGGTACATGCCCATGTTGCTGCCTCAATCTTCAGTAGAGGTGTGCAAGAGGCAGCTGATCAATGATTCTCTCGCATCATTGATCTCTCCCTCTTCCTCTCCTTTCCTTTCTGAAATCAATAAAATTATATTTTTTAAAAGAAGAAGTAGGATTCCTGTGTAGGATCTAATTCTTAGTAGCTGCCCTTTACCAGATCCCATCTGCAGTAGATTCAAAAGATGTGTTAGTGTATGAAATGTGAACAGCATCCTCGCTTAGCTAACATGGAGTCTCTCGCTCCTTTCTTTCCAAAATATATAATTTTGCTCATATCATGTGGTTTCCTGGGAAGCTCGAGTAGGAGTTAGTGTGTCTTCCTGCATCGGCCACTCGTGCCATTCAGATGGCCATCCTTTACGCCAGAGCGGCTCTCTGCTGGCCCAGCCTCCAGGCCTCTGACTGGGCCATTTCTAAGGGCCTGTGCTGGGCCGGCCATCTGCCCCTGCAGTGTCTGCCCCAGCAGCCCTGGGGCTGCCCTGTTGCGTGAAGCCTTGTCTCAGCTCAGCCTCCATGGCCTTCTCTCCGAGGCTTGCAGATGTCCACTCCAGCCTGCCATGGGACAGATGACTGTCCATGCTTTCCCTTACCCAACATGCCCCGCCCCGGAGCATGGCTTGGGATGATCATTGCTTGGGAGTTACATGGTGGCTACTATCTGGAAATCGAGCCAATTGTCACACCCTCTGCTTCTCCTCAGAGGACAGTGAGGCACTGGGATGAGCTGGGGTGCCTGTCAAACATTTCAGGGGAGAGTGTGTTTTCCCTCTGCACCCAGCACCTGGCCTTGGTTCCAGAGGAGCTGGAATTCTGGGCATGGAAGTCCACACCTCCATGGAGCTCTCCTGACCATGACAGCAAATCTATCTTAAAATCCAGAAAATGAGGCACTGGAGTTTAAAAGGAACTGTCAGGCAGTACACAGAGATAGACTCAAAGGAACACGGCTCTCACTTTTCAGGAAATAGGACAGATTGTGTAACATGCCAAAGTCAACACAGGCCTCAAAGGGCTAGCAGTGCAGAACTGGGGCTTGATGTTCTTCCTGAAGCCCTGGGAGCTACATCTTGGGCTGGACAGGGAAGCCAGTGGTGCTTCCCTTGGGCCTCTGAGCACTGGGTATGAGAGGGTCTGAGAATAGGCGTGATGCAGGCAGCAGAGTTTCAGTTCTGGGGTTCAGTTCCTGCAGTCTCCACATTCAGGCCAGGCACCTCTAATAGCTCTGATAGTCTTGGGGGTCTGCGCACTTCAATTCAGAAGACCAGGAGAGCCGGGTGGGGAGTGGGGGGAGGGATGGGGAGGAGGGGGCAGGCAAGGCAATGGAGAGAAGCTTCTGGAACACTTAGCAAATGGTCTAATGGTCTTTACACTTTCTAAGAGGGTTAAAGGAGGAGCTCTGAGCTCTGTTCCCTCCCATCTTGGTGAGCAATGGATGCCTCGTTCCTCTTTGGGAGACCAGGTGACTTTCTAGCAGGTGGAAGCCGTGACCCTGCGGCTCAATTAGAAAGGCATCCAGGAGTCCCCCTCCTTCCCAGCAGCATTCAGCTCGCGCCCAGTCCATAGATTAATTTTTCAGACTTGGTGTTAGTTCAGGTGAGATAAAGATAATGAAAGTTTCCTAATCCTCTTAAAGAAGATTTATCTGGCTGCGTAGAAAGCTTTTGGAATACAATAAGGCATGTATAAAACTGAGGCCTAATCTGGCCTTTAATTTCAAACTGCTGATGGGTATTGATTTTGCAGTGAGGAAAACGGAAAACTTTCCGAGCTGCAACTTGTCTGTTTGGGGGAACGGGGGAAGGTGTTTATTTGTCATCTGTCCATTAGAGGATGTTAGACTCTCATCACTTCTGCCAACCAAGGGCCAGCATAAAAGGGGGAATAGCCCCTTAACGCCCTGGCTTTGTCGCTCTTGCTGCTGCGACAAGGTAGATAGACTAAGAGGTTCTCTGTCACTAACCTCACAGCCTGTCCTTGCTGCTTTTGTAAGGTGGCCTTTGCCACGTATCTGATAGAATTATCAGATATATAATAATAATTCCCAAGTCCTTCCCTTGGAGAGGAGCTGCATTCATTAAAATATCATCCCTGGTACCCAAGGCACATCTTGGCCACTGAAGGATCATCTCAAGGCAGCATGTGGAGGGTGGTATGTTCATGAGAGCTGGAATGTACACTCAGGTGCTGAGGAAAGCCCAGCCAGATGGGTAGGGGGAGGAGAATTGGGCTGCCATTCTGGTATGGGGTGCCATAAAGCAGAGAAAAGCTGGAGGCCCTAGGTCAGGCAATGAGCTACTCCCATCACCAAAAAGGTGTGCCGAGTATGGGCTGTGGATCAACCTGTAAAAAGGAATACAGTGCCTCCAAGAAAGACTGAGAGAATTAATGTTAATGCTTTGAATGAAGAAAAGTGAAGAGAGGGTCACTTACATTTTGGATGGGGAATGATGCTGGCCTCACTCATAACGGTGGAGCTAGGATCCTGTGATTCTAGGAAAGGAAAGCATGAGGCTTGCTAAGTTTAGGGGCAAGGAAACACAAACACCATGCAGCTATTACAGAACTAAGGACCAGGTGCAGCTCAAGACCAACTGTGGTGTATTTGAGACCCATTGTGAATCTACTAGCATGAGAGTGAGTGAGCTTTCTGAGATTATTCCTATAGAACAGCAGGAACCATGGGTTTATGTCTGTCCCCAGCACACAGCACTGTGTGAGGCTTTCTAGACATGCAGTCAATGTTTGTAAAGGGAACCGAAGAACCGGTGACTATAGCAAGTGAAATGGCACGTGAAGGCCGTGATCAGACAGCCCCTAAAGCAGACGTAGGTGAGGATTGTGGCTGAGATTGTCCAGGTGACCTGAAGTGGACAGTGATGGGGAAGATTCCTGGGAGGGATGGTGGTCTTCCATGTTACAAGCGAAGACATATGTTAGAACAGGGATAACATGAATCCCAGGCATTTATTTAGTACCTTACAACACTGGTCACAGTATTGTCTCTTGATCTTCATAACAAGCCCGGGAGGCCATGGGACAATGACTCAATTTTTAAAAATTAGAAACCGCAGCTCCTGGAGAGCAAGAGACCTGTCAGGGCCTCCTGTGAGTAACTAGCAGAAGGGGGCCTCAAACCCTGGCCATGGGACTCCAAGATCAGTGTCCCTCCAGCACACTCACCACCTCCTGCTAAGCTCTTCTGAAGTTCTTTCTCTAACCTAGATCGTGGGAACTGTCCAGTTATTCTTTCTTTTTTTCCTCCTCTTTTTCTACTATGGAGATTACATTGTACCAGAAGGAATTGAAGACAAAGCTCAAGGTAGAAAATTAGCATTGGGGGTGGGATGCCAAAACTACAATGAATAGTGTAGAGAGGCAAAGAGAGGGAAAGAGAGAAGCAAAGAAGAGAATCAAATTATAGTAGCTCATTCATACATGTTAAACATTATCTCTTTTATACACATATATATATGATATTATATATATATATATATATTTCAGAGAGGAAAGGAGAGAGAGAGAGATAGAAACATCAATGATGAGAAAGGATCATTGAGCAGCTGTCTCCTGCATTCTGGGGATCAAGCCCACAACCTAGGCATATGCCCTAACCAGGAATTATACTGTGACTTCCTGGTTCAGAGGTCATTGCTCAACCACTGAGTCATGCCGGCAGGGCCACATTACCTCTTTATTCTATGTCTGTACCAAAAACTTAAGTCCTTTGAGAATCTAGTAAATAATTGTTATCCTAAGTGTGAGGATGCTCCAGCATTCTGAAACCATGTAGTTATCCTTGCATTGCCTTGATTGCTGTCATGGTCAGTG